GTCTGCTGTTTGATATATATTGGCCTATAAGGATCTATTTTGACTGACATAAGTCCGATTTGGATAAGTAAGGAGACTAAAGTTCAAACTACACACAGATTCATTGAACAAACATGTATTATATTAATAATGTAATCGTTATATACATCATTCTAGAAAATGTTTGTCTACAACAAATAAATCATACAATATTATCCCGACTTATCAATTCGGGCTAAGAGTTCCCTAGCCTAACTGTCGTCCCTCCGTCTACGATGCCGACTGTAATGAGTAATGGTGGTAAATGGGTCTCGGGGCGGTGGGGGGGTGAGCTGGTTAGACGATTTGTCCTCCTGGGTCCATGATATATGTTCATTGAAAACGTTACATACCAAACACCAACACAATAACTGGAATAGCAGTTTAACATAAGGTGGACGATTTAAAGGCAAAGACAGAAAATTTCTAATAACATCCAAAGTAGAAAATGTAAATCATCCAAGTGACCGCAATTTTACAAACTTCAGAAAATCTGGTACAAAATAATCAAAATAACACTACTATATACTACTACTACAACAAATAACAATATAAACTTAGGTCCTACGTCGGTTTAGATGGACAAGTAGTTCGGTTCTGACCCTACTGGTGACAACGACTGCATTTGGTCGGGGGCCGGTTGGTGTCATCCATTACATTGCGTATACGCTTCGACCTTGGACGACCTTTTCCACGAACCATGGTGCTGTCCGGAATGAGTTTAGGGCCTACGTACTGTGCCTACTGTGCCCAGGTTGTCTCGTATGGGATAGGCCAAAACTGTGGTGCATAAGTGTTCGTGTAGGCTGCCGATTGCTGCAAAGGGTCCACCCACGGCCGCTCCGATAGTGAATACGTCGCACAGACTGCTAGAACATGAGAACATGGGAGGTGTAATATCTTCGGTTTGTTGCATGTACACATTCTCAACTGCCAGTTAACAGTATGCTTGTGGCCTCCTTTACTACCAATTCACTCTCCCCTTTCTGTTGTCACTTGGTAAATATGCAAACGACGATTATACGCATCCACACTATGATATTTGGCTTTTGCGCTGTTCTTCTCTAGGGTTGCAATGACCTTTAGGGGGTATGGAAGTCCCTGATCAGACCTAGCCTCAGAAGACACCCTTCTCAAAGTGAAATACCTGTTAACTCTGTGGAAGGTTAACTCGATAAGGGACATGATCGGTAGAAACCGAGCTCCCTTCAACACATTGTTAAATGTTTCCGAAAAGTTTGTAGTACATATCCTATATCTGCGACCATTGTCGTGAAAGAGAGACCACATAGTGAACGGGACTTGAGCAATGTACTCCATGGCCTTGGTACATGCCTCACCAATGAAACACAGATCAGCTTGAAGTTTTCTTTCCTGCCTTTGGTACGCCGCAGCCTTGAACATATCTCTCATGTAGTTACTTCGCACGTGAGTCTTCAAGTTAGAAGCTATGTGGCGGACACAAAACCTGTGATAGGCTCGCGACTGGGTGAATCCAACATTAGGATCATTCATTGCTGCAATGATCCCAGGATGTCGATTAGATATAACACAGAGGCCATCCCATTGCGTGATACGATCCCGAATACAACCTAGGAACCAAGACCAATTGGAAGTGTTTTCCCCTTCAACCACCGCAAATGCTAGAGGAAATACTTAGAAGCTTGCATTAACACTTGTAGAAACCAACAATGTTCCTTTATACTTCCCGTACAAGTGCGTCCTATCGATACAAATAACAGGCATACAATGTTTATAGCCGTCGATACAAGGACCGAAGGGCCAAAACACTCGTTCAAATACTTCCATGTTGCTGTAGTATACACCGTCCACCAAAGCTTTGTGTTTCCATACGACACATGTTCCCGGATTTGACCATAGGAGTGCTTGCATGAACTGCGGAAGTCTGCTGTAAGAACTCTCCCAATCCCCATATATTTCAGCTATAGCTTTCTCCTTGGCATACCACGCTCTCCGATACGGGACATCGAAATGAAATTGCTTGGAGATGAGTTCCTTTATGAATTCAACTTTCAAGGACGGATCTTTCCGCACAAAGGACTTCACTTACTCTGCTATTATGGACAAATCCAAGTGTGGGTGATCAGTAAATAGTACTTCAGTGACACATGTCTCCCGTTGCGGGCCTTTGTACGTGACTATGGTAAAACCACATGAGTGCTCACTGGATTTGGTACCCCGTAGCATCCAACCACATTTCTTCTTGCATCGCAGATGAAGGACACTATCATTCGAGGTCACTGTGGTGTAGAATTGATTCCTCTGTATAGAATACATCTTCACCATTTCTTGAAGCATTTTCTTACTTTCAAAATACATTCCCTTCTCAAATTCTTCCCGGGAACAAACGATGTATGGCTACCCGATTCAGCCCAATATTGATCAACTTCATAGTTCTCGTTTATCTCACTGAACCAAGGTATGGGAGTTCTAACCAAGGGCTCTCCAACTTCCATCTGTGTAGGTTCATCATCCTCCTCTCCATTCTCGTCCTCATCATTTGTTTCCACATACACATCATACACCGACAATTCATTATTCACAATATGATCAAAATGATTTGGCTCATCTCGAGATGTTGATGCTTGAAAATCATCTTGCATAGGCGAATAACTATGCAATTGCATCGGTGAAGGTGCCACGTTGTTCGATGACGAAGGATCGGGCTAGCTCAACATTGTCACACATCGCCCCGCATGTACTGGTGAAGCTATATGCAATGAGAACTTAACGGCATGTGAAATTGATCGTCCTGCAGCATTCGACTGAAAGATCCAATCCCATATTCATTCAGATGGAATGTGGTTTGAGGGCAATTGGAAGGACGCGGTGTTGTAATCAGAGACATATGTAGCTTGTTGTTCTGGCCGAGTACTTTGTTGGGTACATATAGGCACCATTTCTACATATATCTCATTGGGAACACCCTTCATTGCAACAATGCTCCTCAAAGCTTTCAAATGTCTGTTCGTAGAAACATGTAACACTTGAACCCGATGGCCAGTATCAAACCTCATTTTAATGTTAAGTTTGACATTCATTGGGTTTGAACCAGTACTACTATGAACCTCGTTCATCAAATCATTGATTGTCATGTTCGGTTCAAGTGTTAGTGGTTTCATATTTCCTCCACTATACTCAACATTTGATCTAACGCACAGAATAATTTCACCTCCCCACCGGCATAACAACACAACATTTTGTCCAGCCATATTCTACATAACAACCAAAACACATTTTACTTAAAGACGTTAAACCATCCCTAAATCACCACAATCAAACAAAAAATGTTTACATACTTTACAAAATAACTACTAAGAACCCCTAAATCACCATTATTACACAACAATGTAGGTTATGACAATTGTTCAAAAACTAATAATTATCAACCATTATCAACAATTTTCAACATAACCAACAACAACAATTCAACATTATCCAAACTATTATCAACACTACCAATATCAACACTAACAATATCAACACTAACAATTCAACAATTACCAACACTAACAATTCAACAATACCAACACTAACAAGTCAACATTATTAATACTAACAACTCAACATTATCAAGATTTTAACCACAATTCCAAAAAATTAGAAACCACCAACATAAACCCTAGTATTTAAAAAACAAAGAGAGATTGAGTAAATACCGATTTCGGGGTGGGGGGAGGCTAGGTTTGGTGGGCTTCCGGCGTCCGGTCGTCGGAGTGCGATGGTGGAGGTGGCGGCGGCGGCCTTAACGGAGGAGCACAAGTATGAGAGAGAGAGAGGGATTAAGTTAGGGAGTTTGGGAATGAAGAAGTTTAGGAATGAAGAAGGGAGGAAACGCTGCCTGTTGCAGCCTGTTATACGGGTGTTGCAGAAAAATAAAAACGCAAGAAACGCTGTCTGAGACAACGTTTCATTAACAACCATAAACGCTGTCTCAGACAACGTTTATTGTTGAACAGTAAACGCTGTCTCATACAGCGTTTATTGTTCAACAATATACTCTTTTTTTTCTTTTAATAAAAATATTTTTACAAATTGGTAATTACAAAATTTTTTATAAAATAAAGTCAAAAGGTAAAACGCTGTCCCAGATAGCATTTTACAAATTGATTTTTTTTTTAAAAAAAAAACCAGGGCATAAAACGCTGTCCGAGACAGCGTTTTATTCCTGAAGCTTAGTTTGGTAAATACTTTTGCCACGCAACCATTTTCGTAAATATTTTGCAAATATGACTTAGTTTGGGAAAACGTCCTAGGAATTTCAATCCCCCGACTTGTGTTTCACCCGCATTTTTCAATTTCATTAAGGGCATTTTGGTAATTTTGCCCCCTTCTTTTTCATGCGCCGCATCATTTTCTTTCTCTCTCTTCTTCCGCATTTTCTCTCTCTACCTTCTAATTCTCTAAAGGGAAATTATCAATGATACCCCCCGGGTTTTGACTTCTATCAATGATACACATCATTAAACTTTCATTATCACCGGTACACCTAAACTTTTTCTAAATACCTACCGTGACCTTGACCGTTAACTAAACGTTAATGAATCCACAGCAACCGGGTCCTTAAACATTGGCAATCTGGCATTGGCCCTTGAAGCATATTATTGGTCAAGTTCACAACAGCTAGAGACTCTAAACTCATCAAAGACGGCGGAATAACTCCAGTAAATTTATTATCCCTAAGGCTTAACACCTGAAGATCCTTCAATCCTGAAAAATCAGGCAATGGACTAGAAAATGCATTCTGATGCAACCAAACTTCCTTCAAAGCAGTCATGTTCTGAATCACATCAATCCTCCCATTAAGCCTGCCACACTTTTCTGCCCATTAACCCACAATGAGTGAATTTGAAACCCATCAAAGCTCCTAGGCAATCCTTTTCCAAATTATTGAAGCTCAAATGCAAATGCACCAAACCCAGAAACGAATCAAGCCCGAAAAAAATCAGGTATTACCCCAGTCACATTAGCAGAATTAGCAGAAAAATTCTGAAGTGTTGAGCATCTTTCAAGGATTCAGGAATTTCCCAACCCTCAAAAGGGTTATTATCAAGATCAACAGATTGAAGTACAGACAACCCAGTAAACAAATCACTAGGAATTGAACTAAAATTATTATTACTAATCATTAAAACATGCAATGAACTTAATCCACTAAAACTAGGAAAAGGGCCTGAAAATTTATTCCATTGAACTTCTAACCTTTCAAGAGAAGTTAAAGAAGAAAGACTAGCAGGGAGAGTACCTTCCAAGTTCTGGTGCCCAATTTGAATCTGGGTCACTTTTTTTTCCTGGTTACAACCCACATGGGTCCATTTACAGGGATCTGGGTCGGACCATCCAAGTGATTCGGGTGGGTTATTAAAGTTCTTCCTCAAAGCTAACATAACTGAAGCATCATCTGAACTTGCTTCAGAGAAAACTGCAATATTACAGAAAATGGAAGGGAAATTTGGAGGGAAATTAACCTTTAAAACGCTGAACAGAGCTTCATTAACGTTTAGTGAATGGTCAAGGTCATGGTAGGTATTTAGGGAAAAGTTTAAGTGTACCGGTGATAATGAAAGTTTAATGATATGTATCTTTGATAAAAGCCAATACCTGAGGGGTATCATTGATGATTTCCCTTCTCTAAATGACAATTTTGTTCTTCGATTTCGCTAATCAATTTCTTCGATTCGGTCATCTCTTTTGACAAATTCTTCGATTTCTTTCTTCACGTTGTTGTATATGGCATGATTCCATCATTTCTACAGGTAATTTTTTTTATTTGTGTTTTTTTATTGAGTTTTTGTTTCTATTTATTAGGGTTTTTTTCTATTCTTTTTGGAATATACAGTTCTTTGATTCTGTATGATTGAGTTTGTTTGGGTTATTGATTCGATTACTATTTGTGCTCTTTAGTCAATTTCGTTTATTAGTTTTTATTTAGTCAGTTAGGTTTTGTGTTCTTTACTGAATTTGGGTTGAGTATGATACAATTTTTATTTTTTTTGGTCATTTCAACGAGGTTTTGGTTGTGTCTTCTCACGATTTGTTACAGTTTATAAAACGTACTTTATTGCGGTTTATTTCTGATTTTCTTTGATTGGAATTATTAAATTTTAATTTTGTTTTGTGTTTTTCTCAATTTAGGCTTTTCTTTCATATGCTTGAATGAATCAAGTATTTTTCTTTTTAAATTTAAGTTGTTTTCTTTGAGTTTTTGAGTGAATTTCAGGAATTGATTTTGTTTGTATACTTTAGTGTTAATTGATTTACTTTTTAGTTGATTTGATATACATTTTAGTTAATTTGATTTACTTTTAAACGATTGCTTGCACTTTGCTTTTCTGTACAAAACTGGAGTAAGTGGAATCAATGACGAGAGTAAAGGAGAAAGCAGCAGCAAAACCATCCTACAGTTGCTGCTGAAAGTGGCAGCAACAATCCTAAATCTAACTTTAAAGATGAAGAAGTGGGTTGTTCCCCACGGACAGCAGTCATAAACTATTTGATTGTTGATACACTTTTGAGATTATTGTATTTACTTTTGAGTTTTTCTATTTTACTTTTGAGTTAATATTCTACCCCGAGTGAAATTATTTATCTGGAGGGCTTGCAAGGGGCCATTACCTACTGTGCAGGGTATGAGAAGGAAGGGGATGGAAGTTGATTCGATATGTAGCATAAGTTCTACGCTTGCAATATGTTTCTGTACAATCCTGATGAAATTATGATAGTCAGTAGCTCACTGTTACTCTATTACTCTAATTAGTTAGCCTCTGTCATTCTTTATTATGTGTTATTTGATGTTGAAAGTGCTCTCAATCTCCTCCCTGATGCTGCAATTTTTGCTCATCACTGTTTTGTAATGCTGCCAGCGCTTCATCTCATTGATCTTGATGCTCCTTTGATTTTGTTTTTCTATGCTTCACTTCCGTGCAGGATATGGTTGTTAATCTTTGGCAACAAAATATTTTAATGAATTTGTTTCAATACTTTCTTTTGTCAGTCTTCACAAACCAAAAACAACCATACATGAAACACTACTAATATGCTCATGTCTTAGCGCTCGCTATGGATCATACTTTCTTCAATTTATCATGAATCATAGTTGTCTTATTTAAATCTCTGTTCATTTTTTGTATTTACCCCACTATACCTATGCTTATGTACGATATTTTTACGCTCGTGCTCTTGTGAAGGGGAATGAGGATTATGAACACCATTTAACTTGTAAATGCGGGTGCAGTGAGAAGTTGATAGTTAGCACCACTATAGATCACGAGGTTGCAGTTTTGTGTCTCTTTTGGTTATGTTTCATTTTTCATTGATTTTAGCTGCTACATTCTTATTATTTTTTGTTTACTTTTAGTGCTTCTTTATTTACTTTTCAATTAGAATCATCTACTTTTAATTAGCTCAATTGGGAAATTGTTAATTTCTTAGTTTTTTATTATGCTCAGTCTGTTCTCTTTGTTAGTATGCTTAGTCTGCTTGTATGTGATTATGTACAAGTTGGCTAGTCTACTTTTTAAGTATGCTTGATTAAATTGCTTGTTCTGATGTGCTTAATCTGCCTCATTTCAGGAAATTTTTCCCCAATGCTGATACTGAAATTGCTTGTATGCTAGGCAACTATTTTCCTAAATTTTTTCAACCAGAACATGGATAGTATGAAGTTGCATGGAGGAGTTTTAAATCAGGGTAGTGGTTGAGTGCTGCTGCCTTGCCAAGGCTGCTGCTGCAGCTGCTGCCCTGCCACGGCTACTGCTGCAGCTGCTACCCTGCCCTCTCAAGTTTCCATTTGTAGATTCTCATGAAACATGGATCACTCGTCTCTCTAGAACCTCCAAGGCTTCTAAACTGGAAATTTCATATGGTCTTAGCAACTGATTTTGAAGTTGCTGATGTTGTCTTTGCTCATTTTATTATTATCAACTTTATATACACTAGCCTACTAGCTCAAGAGGTAGAGCATTGTGCAAATGCACAAAAGATGTGGATTCGAATCCCACATAGATTCATTTGTATTTACTTTAAGAGATATTTTATTTATTACTTCAACTTATTTTGTATCTACTTTTATTACTTATAAACTCAAGCTCACTTATCCAAGGATTAAAGGTTGACAGAAGGTTCTATCACTTATACTAGATATTTAAGCATTCATAGCAATTAGAGACCGTCAATAAGCATTTCTTCATAGCAATTTCCTTATTTCAAAAGTAGAAAAAGTGAATTTCATTTATATTTACTTTAATAAATATTTTATTTACTTTAACTTATTTTGTTTCTACTTTTATTACTAGAAACTCATGGTCACTTATCTAAGGATTAAAGATATAAACATGTTGGTAAACTAATACCCTGCTTTCTCTTTTTAGCAATGTGCACCCTAGGCTGAATAGTTGTGAGTAGATATAATTACTTTTAAGTAAATACTATTTACTTTTGATTTACTTTTTAGCTATTTTGATATACTTTTGAGATGTTTTGAATTACTTTAAAATGTTTTGTATTTACTTTTAGAGGTAACATATGTAGGAATCGAACCTACATCTCTATGCATCCGCATAGTGCTCTTCCACTTGAGCTAATAGGTTTACTTTAGAGTCTTTTTTATTCACTTTAAATGCTTTTTTATTTACTTTAGACAACTACTATAGGAATCTACATTTTCCAATCTTATTCATCTTTTGTATTTTCAAACCCAATGTAAACCAAGATGAGCTATTAACAACCACACTAACGTGAGAATTCCCCGCCTTTGCTTTATTGCACGCCATGGGACTTGGGTGAGCAAAGCATAGCAGCATCACATAACAGCTCTACCCAAGCCTTGCATGTTATCTCCCATTGAATGTCACCGAATGTTTTTAGATGCTTTGTGAGAAAACAAGCATCTAGAGCAATTCCAGTTCCTGCAATCCAGTTCACCTCATCTGTTTTTGATTTATTTACTTTTGAGTGTTTTTTATTTATTTTTGAGTGTTTTTCATTTACTTCAATGATGTTTAATTTACTTCGAGCGTTTTTCATTTAGTTTTGGAGGCAACCGATGTAGGAATTGAGCCTACATCCCCTATGCATTTGCATAGTGCTCTACCACTTGAACTAATAGGATTTAGTACACCTAGTAACAATCTAAAGCATAATCGATAATCTAACTATTAAATGTCCATCTGAGCTCAGCAGCTCGTGCTCATTATTACTCCATGTGAGCACCATTTCTCATTTAAGATCGCAACATCAGTATTAATCTTCACTACACCAGTATGGGGACGGTTCCAGGTTGTAGCATGCCTTGGCACACCCTTAGCCACTCTCCCAAACACTACAGCAGAATACACCTTATAATTAGCCACATACCTCATAAGAGAATTATAGCTTACACAAAAATATTAAGATTCACAAGAATTATAGCTTACATAAAAATTAGTGTTCTACAATTTATTGTTGGCTTGATATCCGGGTCAAGAACAATCCTCTTCTTAGTGTCAAAATTATTTAAATCTTGTATATCACCAAGTATATAGTATGATAAACCTCAAGGAGCGATAGGAAAATGCTTTTGACATAGAAGGTTGCCCTTCCAATGATTAAGTAGCTTCCCCAACAACTGGAACTTGCATGAAGAGGTACTGCAATCACAAAAATTCAAGAATCACAAGCTTTATACCCGACAGATTAGATCTTAAAAACACGTATATATATACTAGTGTATGTACCTCAAAGGATTTGCCAGATTTTTCAAACTCAAGCATGCTGAGAGCGACTTCACAACTCTGTGAGACTATAGGCTTAGGGTCCTTGGCGAATCCTCACACCCAAATTAGGCTAGCATATTGTCACGACCCACGCATCCCACCCCTCACTAGGGTCATTGGGCAGCAAGCAACAATCTTGGCCTAGGGGCTTGCCCTTGGTGCCCAGCAGAGCACCTCTCCCTATAGAGCTTTATTTAGCTCAGGTGTTGTATCCCTAGTGAACACCCAAGTGACAGTAACACAATAATGGGCCATTTGGGGGCCCAAATGAAGTCCGATTGAGCCCAAATTTGGGGGACCGCCGTTTTCAGGCCCAATGAACATCATGGTGGTGTTGGATTTCGAAGATGAAGCCTGGAAGATTCCAGAATATTCAAGGAGGCTCGGGATACACTTAGAAGCTTTTAGAACCTCCTAGGTTATCCTTGAATAATCTGTAAATACTAGAATTGTATAGAGCAATCTAGAACTTTGTACATAGGAGGAATGTACTCAAGAATTGTATAGAAAACTCTAGAAAGAATAGGATCTAGAACCCTCCATTTGAGGAGGTTAGTGAAGGTTCTAGGCCATGCTTAGAGCCCTATAAATAGGGGACTTAGCCTTCATTTGGAGGCATCTCAGAAACACTTGTACACACTCTTTCTCAAGCAACCAAAAAGCATTCATAGTTAATATTCTCTTGTATTCTCACATTCTCTTAGCTTTCGTTGCACACTCTTGCTTAAAAAGCAGTTCGGGGTTAAGCCTTGACTAGCATCCAAGGGAGGGAAGTTAGTGGGCTAGCGTGCTCAAGACTAGGGGAATTAGTCAGCACGTGACAATATGCTTACTTTAAGAGAGGATTAGTTTACTTTTAGATA